GTGCATAATAGTCGGCAAAATGAATCGGCCAGTTTAACATTGCAAAATTATTGAGTTTACCAGTGGAGAATTTATTTAAGCAAAACTAAAAATGATAAAAGCTTTATGCATTTGGTTTTTATGATTTGTTTTAACTGTTTAAGCTGGGCACATAGAATTGTCGTTCATATTGGTTTCCAATTCGTGGATACTACTTGTTTCTTTGGTTTTCAGTTACCTTCCTCTTTTCTTTTTTTGCCTGTCTTTTATTCAGATAAATGTTGTTAACTGTTTACACTGCTATATATTCAGTTGTTAATCTGAAGTCGTTAATTCTACAAAACAGACAAGAAAAAAAAAGAAAACAAGGAAGAATATATTTTCAAATCAAATTTTTCTCTACAGCTGCCTCAGATGTTTCTCAACTTTATTTCAGCACTTCTTTAGACTTTTTTCTTCCGATTTTATACCTGAATTTTTTGCAAAATGAGAAGAAGAAGAAAAGAAACAGAATTTTTTTGGACAAAATAATCATTATATCACAGAAAGTAATAATGAAACAACAATGAGGGAGAAAAAATGATATCAATAAGGAGGAAAAAAGTTCAAAATTCAACAAATAAAAGATTTATTAATTTTAACAATTATTTTATTTCTAACCTTCCAAAAAAAAGAACAATTGTATAGTGAAAATTAACATCTCATACAGTTTTTCAAAGATAACTTTACGACAGTAATTATGCGTTAAAAGTTTTGTACTGTCTCTATCAAACGGGAATACATTTGATACAGTTTTGAAAAAAGAGACTTTTTTTTTTTAATTTTAAATCTGCATTATTCTGTTTGAGTAAATTTTAAAAATTATTATTACCTGTTGTTTTTTTTGGTTATAATTTTGGTTACCCATTATTAATTGTGTCTCAAATTGTGATAAAAAATTTTTTGACATTAAAATATGCAATTAGTTTTGCAAAATTTGCGATTAATACAGTCAACAATAAAGGCGTAAATACAGCAGAAAAAAAAAAAAAAAAGAGAACCAGAAAACAGAAGAAATA